GCTAACACCGAGGAACTGCAGTTTGTCATTTGAATTCAGTATTTGGGATGTCATTGTGGGACATGCAAATAAAATGAAGAATGAACTCATGTCAAAAAAAAAAAGACAAGGATTTCATAAAGGAAGGCATATCCATTCTATTGAATGCTGTGTGGCAGTTAAAAAGAAGGAGGTGGATCTGTAAGCACTAACATGGAAAAAAATCTCCAGGGCATGTTTCTGAATGACCAAAGGAAATTGGAAGGATTCATACCTCAATGGCCACACTACTCATCTCTGGGAAGAAGTCAGGGGTTGGTGGCAGGTGATTAAAGAGGAATTTAGCTTTGTCTGCAACCATCGAATATTTCACGGTGAGAGTGTTCAGGAATAAATTGCGTAATTGCATTTTTAACATTAAACATTTTAAGATTTTAATAAGCATTTTTATCTGTTGAACAGCATTAAAAAAAACCCCTTTACTTGTCTTGAATGTTAAGTAGGCTTTGTATTTGTACAAATATATGATTATTTCTCTTCAGAAAGTTATTATAAAGTCATCCCATTTGTCCAAATCACTCACTGTTCATCTGATGGTTAAAAACAAATCAACCACAAACACACACACATACACCATCACTCATCCTGGGCACAGCAATTTCCACCCTATGCCACATTGTGCTAACTTTCAGGATATCTAAACCACATCCAAGCAGGCCTTTCTGATTAGCTGATAACTTTGTCTCCAGGCTTCCGTGCCATCTGATTGTCAACTCATAATTTCAGAGCTGCCAAAACCAAGAGACACCTGACTTGGTGGTGGTGCCTGGGTCTGTGGGTGTAGCCTGACAGGCAGGCACCTGGCTTCCTGACCCCAAACCACACAGCTCCCCATGTGGCCTCACGAACATCCTTGTAACATGCTGCCCTGTCCCTCCCACCGCCTGAGCTTGAGAGCAGGCACCCGGGTGATGGCGAGAGGCCTAGAAGGCTGCGGGTCTGGCAGAAGTCGTCTCAGGAACATCTTATTACAGCCTTCTAATTCGTACCCCACTTAATGAGGCAGTGTTGTATAATGGTGATTTGGAGAAAATGTACAATCATCTACTTTTGTTGGCATAACCACTCTCTCTCTCTCAGTCCATGGGCAGACCCAAAGGAGAAGCCAAATTAGAAATCTGGAGGAAATGGGTTTAGAAAGGATGTTAGAAGATGACATAAATGTCATCTTGTACTCCACCATAAAAAAGAATGGAATATTGCCATTTGCAGCAACATGGATGGACCTAGAGATTATCATACTAAGTGAAATAAGTCAAGCTGAGAAAGACAAATGACTTATAATATCACTTATATGTGGAATCTAAAAAAGAATACAAATGAGCTTATTTACAAAACAGAAACAGAATCACAGACAGAGAAAACAAGCATATGGTTACCAAAGGGGAAAGGGTGGGGGAGGGATAAATTTAGGAGTATGGATTAATAGATACACACCACTATATATATTAAATAGATAGACAACCAGGGTTTACCGTAGGGCACAGGGAACTATACTCCGTATCTTGTGACAACCTATAATGGAAAAGAATCTGAAGCGGTACACCTGAAACTAACCTAATATTGTAAATCAACTAGAGGTAATGAATTATGTCATCTTAGATTCTTCCAGACTTTGGGGGTGACCTCCCCTTTCTGGATCAGACATTTCTGAATCTGAATTCCTCTTTAGTTCAGTGAGATGGGCATTTTAGGGCCCCCAAATCAGAGCTTTCCTGTAATCTTCATTCCCTCCCAGTGCAGGGCCATGCCACCTCCAGACACTACACACACTGCTTCCAACCACCTTCCACCAAGGAGGGGCTCATTGATGGTATGAGCCATTGTAGGCGCTGAGTTAGCTGAATTTCCTTAAAAATTAGAGGTGAGAGGAGGTATGCTGCTTCTAAAACCTGTGTTGCATCCCAGCCAGTGGCAGATAGAACTTGTGGGCACAGGGTGACATCCAACCCCACTGACCATGTTCTCCAAGGGAAACATACAAGAGGAAACGGAATGTGATTTGTCTATGAAAAGGAGCTTTAAACCTTGTCTTTGAGGAAGGTCCTCAGGAAGGCTGAACAATAAGAATGGATCACAGTCTGCTATCCCATCATCCCAAGGGACTCCCGTGACAAACGTGCCACGTCAGTAGATTTGGATGTCTGATGAGTCCCTGGCACAGGAGGCCTGGCCTTGCCACTGGCCTTTTACAAAAACCCTGCATCCCTGAGCACTGCTGGCTTTGTCTGTCAGTGATGACCTCCACGACACTCCCTTCTCTATTCCTCCTGGCCTGACCAGGAGCCCGTTTTAATGCACACATGCTTTCTTTAGCTCTCCAGTCAATGTCACACAAAGCTGTCTCTTCCCAAGGACCCTGCATATCTCTGCTCTGGCCATCCTATGTACATTTGATGTCTGACTTGATGGGAGCACCTTACAAACTTTAATATGCCCACTAGTCACCTGGGGGTCTTGTAAAATCCAAATTCTGAGTTGGCAGGTCTGCATGGAGCCTGAGAATCTGCATTTCAAACAAGTTTCCAGCAAATGTCCAGGGTGCTGGTTTGGGACTACACTTTGAGGAGCGTGACATCAAATAACAATTTATTTCCAAGTCTAGGAGATGTGGGGAGAAGCCCTGCATCCCAGTAGCCACCTGAACAGAAAAGGGTTGTCAGGGCCCAAAGAGAGAAAGTAGCTAAAGGGCCTTGTAAACTGTGCTGTGCCCAGAAAATACTGGCTGTTACTGTAACTTTGTATATATAAATTATCTACTTACTTTGGATTTAGAGAGAACTAGATTTATCCCTCTCACCACTTCCTAAGTGGAGGTTTGAGCAAGTCAATCTGTTTCCTTAACTATACTACGGGAGGTTGTCATTTAAAGAAAGATGTATTTGCAGATGTTCTGAGCCAGTATATATTTACATATTTCTCTTTGCAATCTAAATGAACAAAAGCTTTGTGTGTGTGTGT